CTGAAATGTGGAGTAACGTGCCAACAAGACTATCGCAGACATTCTTTTCGATGTGCATTGCATCCAGGAAATGGCTAACATCTAGGGTCTTCCAGTATGGTAGCTCAAAGAATATAGACTTCTTTTTCCAGCCATTTTTAACAATCTTACTTGCAAATGGTTTTCCAAAATCAATATTTAAATCTTTAACCTTTTCAAAGAGTTGCTCACCAGTTAATGGCATGGGAACTCTACCCTTCTCCGAGTGGCCATTGAAGGCCTTCTTCAGTCGTCGATAATGATGTGTTTACGGAAAAAATCATCGATGAACAATGAAGACATTCTTCTTATAATGTTCCAACCGCACTGAACAAGTATGCTCCTCACATACTGGACATGCATCTCGTCCTTTGATACTGTGTCCTGATAAATTGCCATAAGCAGAAAAGTCATTTATGATGCCAAACAACATTGCTCGCATGATGAAATGTTCTTCTCTATACCCATCATAAACTTGCACACTTTTCTCCCACAAAATCTTCAGATCTTCAATCAAAAGAGTTAAGTACACATCTATATCATTTCTTGGTTGTCGAGGCCCAGAAATCAATAATGATAGCATAATAAATTTGCGCTTCATGCATAATACTGGAGTGAGGTTGTAGATCATCAAAATAATCGATCATGTACTATGAGTACTACTTTACATACCATGTGGGTTCATTCTGTCAGTGACTAGTGTAAGGCATAAGTTTCTATCTTCAACCCCAAACTCAGGGTACATAAGATCAAATTTTTTCCATTGAGGAGAATCTGCAAGGTGCCATAGCTTACCATCCTTAATTCTCTCGGTAGCATGCCATGTTAAGTGTTTAACATCTTCTACAATGTTGTATAGGCGTCTACATCTATTTCTCTTATACCGTGATGCATCACATTTTGGATACTTATCTAAGGTTGAATACTCTTTCTGAAAGAGGACACAATCATTTAGATATGCATGTATCTTCTCATAGCTCATCCCAATAGAACAAAGCACTTTTTTAGCCTCGTAAGTATTAAGTGGAAGCTTGTTGTACTCAAGTAACATTTCATATAAGAGTTCAAGCAAATTCATGAAACTCTTATCGCCCCATCCATTCGCTACTTTTAGGTTGTATAGTTTCAAAATAACTGATAGTTTTATGAATTTTTTACAACTGGGGTATAATAGTTTATCAGCATCACTTTTCAACCTCTCAAACATCTTAGGACAGTCCCTAAGATCCTCTTCAATCACATCAATCATTTCATTAAGACGGTTAACATCATATGTCCTACTATCACGATCAAATGCTAAGTAGCTCACACTATCCCTCCAATCATTTGTATTATTCCTTGTCTCCCCATGCATGGTCCAACAAGTATAAGTTGGATCAATCCCATTACATATTAAATGATCTTTCAATTTTATTGGCTTTACTCTTTTTTCATAGCAACATTTCAAACAAGGACATATGACTCCACGGGGGTCTTGATCACGACAAAATGCAAATTCAATGAATTCATCCACATCATCCCCATATTTTTTAGATAGTCGATTAGTCGATATCCACTTACGATCCATATCACTAATATGATTATCAAAATTTAATAAATAAAAGACTTAAATTTCTATAAAAAAAATTCAACAGCATTTTACTTAAAAGAAGAACCTCCCAAATGATCAAACAATCAAATTCCACAACACAATACATTTAAACTAAAAAAATTAATTCATCCAAATAAAAATTAGAAGTATATTTCATAAATAAAATAAAAATATTCAAGTAGTTTCCTCAACTTTAATCTAAATTATCAATTACAAATACTCCATAATTCTAATATAAATAACTTCAATTCATATATTATCTATAATATTAATTATTAAAAAAATATATATGAAATTTATTCTCAAATATATATCAATATATCAATATATTCATTATAAATTAATTATTAAAAAATACCTTCACGGTGTAGTCTTCATGGTAGAAAACAACGGTCTTCACAGTAGCAGTGGAGGTCTTTGCGGCATCGCTTCCTTTGCTGTACAGCAGCAATGCACGATGGCAATGAAGGTCTTCACAGTATTGCTTCCTCCGGTGTATAACAGCGGTGCAGATCTGGAACAACAATGTAAATATGGAACAGAGATGCAGATCTGGAACAGCGACAGTGGTGGACAACTTTTTGGAATAGAGAACAACGGCAGTGCTGGTGGCGGTGTAGAAACAGAGACAGATGATGCAACACGATACAGAAACAGTGATGTACAACACAACAAGACTTTCTCCAACAGCAAAGAGCAATGGACGACTTTCAAAACAGCGACAGTGCGACGGACAAAACAGTGAGGCGCAACGGATGAGATGAGAACAGTAATGGATGAAACAACGACGGCATGACAGACGAAACGCAAGGCCTCAGCAAATGAGAGAGGGTTTTGAAAGAAACTCATGAATGAGGAAAAGAAAATTGACGAGGATAGAAAAATAAAAATGTGAGACTACTCTTCCGGAACGCTCAACCATGAGCGCTCCGGAAGATCATGCGAGCGCTCTAGAAGAGCGCCTTCTTCCAGAGAATTTAACGACGAGCACTCCCAAAGGTCTTTTTAAATTTTTGATATTTTATTTATATTAATTAGAAGCGTTATCTTATTGAGAAGCCCTGACATACAAGAGCGTTTTTTTAGAAAAGCGCTTCAGTAAATTCCGCATTTACATTTTAAAGCGTTTTTTAAAGAAGCGCTCCTAAATACCCGCTCCTAAAGATATATTCTATAGTAGTGTGTGTATCTCTTTTCACCCTGCCATGGTGCAAAGAAACTCCCAAATACTTCCCAAGATCAAAGGTATGCAAGAATTCAAGTTGATCATTGAGTTAAGTCACTCAAGTATGATTAACATTATTAGATATAAAAACTCGCGTCTTCCTTTAACTTCTTTTCTAACCAGAGACCAAGCAAAAAGCATCTAAACATTGCTAATAACCTCCACTTGATCCATAGAAGTCTCTACAAAAGAATAAGATCATTGGTAAAGAATAGAAGAGAAATAGAAAGTCCATCTTTATTGAGACAGATAAGCTTCTAGTTTTTTTTTGTTGTAACCCTTGTTGAGCTAGATGAGCCACTTTTTCAATTCAAATAACAAACACATATGAAGAAATCATATCACCTTGACATATACCATGACTAGGAGAAAATTCTCGGGTCTTACTTCCCTCCTAGAGAATTTGCATAACAAGAGATGAGATGCATTGGCAAACAACATTCAAAACAAGGGAGGCAGCTTTAGCTATTCCAAGCATTCCATAATAAAGGTCCATCGAAGCCTATTATAAGCCTTCTCCATATATTTTTATAGCCATGAAACTTTTCTTGCGTTTCATAGTATGCATGGAATGGATTATTTCTTGCACAATGATAATATTTATCCAAACCTAGTCTACCCAAGTAGGGACAAACCCACATTAATTAGGAGAGATAATTGAAGACAATACCCCTTTAATTCAATTAGTAACAATTTTCATAGTCGCTTTGTAGGTCACATTGCAGAGGCTCATAAGATGGAAATCCCAAATTGTCTCAGGGTCTTTATTTAGAATAAGAACAATAAGAGTTCCATCAACTTCCTCAACGATACTGAAATGCTTACAAGAGAGAATACAGAAGGCCCAATATGATTCCACTGGCTCTAGAAAAATAAAACGTTGAGCCTATGATCCAGACCCAGGGATTTAAGTGCACATCTCATAAAATCTAAATCCATCTCATCAATTTTGGGATAAGAGAAGGTACTAAATTGACCAGTAGATGAACACCCGTCATCCTGAAATAGATTTTTATAAAATGATAATGCATTATCTTTGATTTCTTCTTTGTCTAAACTCCAAGCACCATCCATGAAGGCCTCATCAACCTCATTTCTACGTCGTCTTGGGCTCTTCGCTCTATATTTTATTATTTTTACAAAATTATCCTATATTTTATTTTTTATAAAATTATCAATTTAATATTTTCTTAATATTTCACTTATACTATTAATTTTTAATCCATTTAAAAAATAACAAAATAGAGTAGAAAAGAGGAAAGGGGAGTGGGATGAGATTTCAAGAAATTCATTAAATAAAAAAGAGGGGTTGAAAGTTTTTTTTTTTAAATAACTGCTCTTATTCTTTCTGGTTGCATATTTTTTAAAAAAGATTATAACTTTACTTAATCTTTTTTTTAATTGAACTCGCAATCCTTTTCCTCCTCTTCCCTCCTGTCAAAATCTAATCTATTTAGTTATGTAGTTATATATTATATACTCCTATATTTAAAACTGTATGATATTTTTAATCTAATTTCATCTTCTAATAATAATTAATTATTTTTAAACTAATAATATATTTTCATATTTACTTCTATTTAATAGAGTATTTCACTTTAAAGTAAATATAAAGTAATTTATTTATTATGAATACTTTAAAAAATTATTACATTTTAAAATACTAAAAATATCTTATATTTTTAAAATAAATATAAAATAATTTATTTATTATTGGACTTTTAAAAACACATTAATTACTCCTACAATACTAAAAATATCTTATACTTTTAATATTTAACTCTTTAATGAAAGAAGACAAAACGTATATAATAGGCCGGTTTTATAGGCATCAAGGCAAGCCTTGATGAAAAAAATGTGGCCCATTTTCATGAGAAAAAAAAATGTACACAAGCTTAATGGTGGCTATTCCATAAACCAACAAGTCAAGCATTGGCCGAGGCCATGTAAAACGCACATGACCTGTTTCCAACCTACAGAGAAGCAAAAGAAATAGAGAGGATTACAATGAAATCTTACATAAAAAACAAAAAATTACTACAAAATTTGTTAAAAACACTTGTGTGGGAGTTAGATGTAATTCTCCCAAAGAAATAGTAACCTGCAGAGGAAACGGCAAGGAGAAGCACAAGTTCCGTGAGCATCCATTCATGTTGCACAAAAATATTAAAAAAAAAATCATATTTGATCTCAACGAATGAATTGAATTTTACATATTCACGCCAGATACACACCAATTTCGTAAGATTCATTCAGACGTGCAGAGACACCGAATCTTACCACAAAATCAGAAATAGTAAAGGCACGACGTTAATTAGCTTCAATAGCATGGTTATTTCAACTAGAAACTCCCACACAGCACTCAGAGGAACTCGAAATCAATCACTTAAAGAACATAAATTAAATTATGATATTCTTCAAACGTGAACGCCAACATGGTTCCACCAAACAGGAATCCCCATTACGTAGCCATTACTATGATTGTTCACGTCTTGATGACGACCAACTCCGATCATCGAGTCTTTTTCTTTCCCTGCTGTCTCGCCCTCCTCCTTCACTTCTTTCACTGAGAAATTGATGACCCCACTTCTCCTTCCTTCCCAATTCCTCAGCCTGTAACTCTGCATCTCCAAACATTCCTGATCTTCTCTCGGTATCAAATCCCAAATCCCTATCCTTGCCAACCCGATAGATCGAACCGTGCCTCTCGTCGTCTTGCACTGAACTTCGAATGTAATAGACTGTGCATGCAATGGCACCTCCATCATCAACTTCTCGTTCCACAAAGTGCTCGAGCTCTCCGCCTCTTGCCTCGCCATTTTCGTGCTCCAGCACTTCAATGACTCCGCCCGAACCGTCACGCTCACATTCTCCGTCACCGGAGCCCGATCAATGCAGAGGTTCTCACCAGATATGACCCTCACTTCTAGGGTTCGTGTCCTCATTGCCTCCATACTGGGGACCAGGGAGAAATTTTGTCTAGAAACTGGCCGGAAGAGAAAACACAAGAAAGAGAGATTTTGTTCGGGATGAAAATAGAGAGGAACAAGGGTGGTTTTATAGAACAGGATTGAGATCGAGGAACGTGAGAGAAGGGACGAAGCAAAGAGTACGCTATGTTATTTTTTCGAGTCGTTGGAAGTTGAGGAGAAGACCATACTCGGTTTGGTTTACCAGTCTTTGTGGCTAAATAATTAAATTGTCGATCGATGACAGGCATTGACTTGGCTTTCCTTTTTGGTTCTTTTGCGTGTGTTGGACTCACTCACCTTGGGAATTTCTAACTTCTAAGGGATTTTTGTTACTATAAAATTTCTGAGAAATTTCCATTACGTAGCGTACGCATTTATGTATTTTTTGTTACACGCGTGTCTAGACACGGAACATTTAATTCTCAGTTCACATTATGTCTTTTTCGATTTCTAATCTGTTTATATAATGTATATCTTGGATTGATGAATGAATATGCAGCTGTGTTTTCGGCGCATTAGCTATGTGCACGGTCACATCCTAACAAAAATTAAGTATATGCAGCTTTTTTTTTTTATTAAGATTATCTGCAATTTCTAGGTATAAATTTCCCATCAGTACTCTTTCAAAAAATAAACATTCACCGGCGCCAAAAAAAACCTAAGCACGGCGCACAAATGGTATATGAGTTATTAAAAAAAAATTAGATGCAATCTTTATATTTTTCGTTTTTTAAAAAGGGTCAATTTTTGTTACCCTAATTTAACCACTGGCAGTGTTATTCATTGCATAGCATGGATTCAAATAGTAATGCACGATTGTTAATTAACTCTAACCGATATTTAATGTTCAAATCAACTTGTTATGAAATACGAGGACGATATTATATATTATCTTACTTATATTGGAGGGATTAAATTAAAATTTTTCATTATAAATCTGAAGGATTGATCATGTAGCTAAGCCATAATTAAATGTAGATGACTTTTTAACGAGCCAGTAATATCATGTCTGGATTGAAAGAAATAAGATGTTCAAATGATTAATTTAATTTATAAAAGATATTTAAAACACTTTATATGATATTTGTTTTCAAAGTCAATTGATTGTAATGCAAATGAAATTGGACTAGCGTTATCGATCCCTACTATAATACCCGAATGTTTTTGTCAAGATTTAAAAAAACTAAATCATAATAACTCCAGGATTTTCTAGCAAGCTATTAAAATTATATAAGGTTTTTTTTTTGGGTACCATATGCATATAGTTAATTTTAAAATGAATCACGTTGTTTTTTATTTACAAATAGCGTGACTTGATGTGCTCTACACATTTTATATTGATAATTTGCTGATATGATTGCTATTTTCTTGTTATTTGGTTAATTCAGCGATCAGCTCACTGTTTAACACATTGTTACGCGTGGGGCGCCTTATATTGTGAATGAGGGAAGATCAATATGGCTCTACATGGAATGCATCAGCAATTTACAAGAAGAGCTATACATCTTCATGACAATTTCTTATCATTAACGTCCAAAGAAAATTCTTCCCTTGACTCCATCACTGGTCTTCATGAATTTAAATTTAAATTGTATTAAACTTGCAGTTCTTGATTTACACACTTCCTTTGGATTAATTTAATTAGATTCAGTGCAGCCTGACACAAGTTTAACGAATTAGACCTCAAAACGACATCGCTTTAATTACTTAGCCAAGTGAATGGGGAATCAAAATAATAAATAGAAAAATCTGGAAAGAATTGGACTAAAATCTTCTCCGCGTTATAGGCGTCATTTCCTTTTTACGAGGTGCACGTACATACACGAATTCATAGACACGCCTTTCCATGTGTTGCCAGGATTTTACATCACACACCTGATTGAAGAATCTAAGAGGTATACAATATTGGAATATGGGGCTCATTTATAAAGAAATATTTATTTACTGATCTCTAGAAATATATTTTTCCCCCTTGATCTAGATTACCTTATCAGATGGCTAAAATAGTCAGATTATGATTTTTTTTCTTTACACGCTGTTCGTACACGTAGGTAAGCATTAATCATATTCATATTCCAGTTGAGAAACGGATACTTTACATTTTTCTTCTACGGCCGTTGTGAAATCTTTCGTGGTTGAGCTCTTCACGTTCATGTTTCTTTTGTTGCAGTTTACATTTCCAGATGGGTTTCCCCCATTTATTTAATCTCTTTAGAATTTCATGATTTTAGGCCGAATCCCGTAAATTGCACAGGTTTAATATAAAAAATTATATAGATAACAATATTAACAAAATTCCAATTTAAATAATAATGTTGCCTTCTTAGATAAAATGAAAATTTGTTTATACGTGTGTGTGTGTGTGTGTGTGTGTAAATTTCAGGTTCAAAAATTGAATGGACGTTAATTTTTTAAAAAATTGAACCAAAAAATAATAAACATTCTTGTGAAAGACGCTGAGAACAAAAGGAATTAAGAAGATCAAATTTCAAATGAGCAATAAAGAATGCAAGGATAAAATAAATGAGCAATACAGTTTTAAAACTAAAATATCACTCTTTAACTATAAATATAATTATGTAGAAAGGCAAAATAATAATAATAATAATAAAGTAATGCAGGAATGTGTCTTAGGCACATATTGCACCCATTAAGTCAGAAATTCATCAGGCTGCAACAAAAAAAATTTAAGCATCCAAATAAAATTACATCAATTTTATAAATAAACGTTAAACAAACTTTTGCAATCGGCATGATAAAAAAGGAAATTTTAATTTGTACTATCACTTTGGGCATTGTAACAGGTTTTTTGCGATGTTCTTCAGGAATTCCAAAGTCTATGAGTTGATGGGAAACAAAATAATCCTTGAGAAGTCCACATTCATCACCCCATGCAATTTATACTGTGTCTCCAACCCCCTTCCTATCAATGGTGGTGAAGGAATATCTGCAAGTGGTAGCAAAGGGCAGGCCAAAGAAGAGAATCAAATTGCGTAGACATTTGCAAATCAAGCGAAATTCAAGAGTAAAGATCATTGCATTCTTGTCCTTGAATTCCCGTTTCCTTCTATAAATTTTGGTGGCAGAAAAGGCAATGGGGGGCATATTCTATAACCCTTTCTTGAAAAACTAGTGTGATGGCTGTGAGCTGTATAGGTATCCTGGGAACAAAACATACTATATTCCATATGAACCTCACCAAGAATTACACCCCCTCCCTAGAAAAATTCATTTATTCCCCCTAAATTATTTTTTTAATGAATAAGATATAAACACCCACACACACTTGCTTGTCTACTCCTTCCCTCAGGCCAAAAAAAAAAAAAAAATCTATCCCTTCCCTCGTAGGAAAGAGTGACACACACCCACACTATGCTCACTCACTAACACACCCACCCCTTCATTGATAGAGAATATAACCCACAGCTTCCCTCTTTCAAGGGGGTGTTCGGTGCCATTGAGCTTAGAGGCTCTTGGCCTGCCTAACTTACTTTATTTGCCTTGTCTAACTATTTTCAAAATTCTAGTACATATATTTAAAAACATACTTTTGCTGTACAAATACATTAATTATATGTTTAACTTGCTTGTTACCGAAAGAATTTTAAATTTTAATTCTTTAATCTTTGTCGTTGCTAGCAAGAGTTACAATTGTTGCTATAGAATTATGAAGTAAATGAGGCCAAACGATCTATTGTGAATCTTTCAAATAACTTCGTACAAGCAAAATATACCATGGCATCCCCTCTATAGAATATCAATATTCTTTTGTTCAGGAAAATATAAAAGTGATAATCTCAAATCATATATCTGCATTAATTAACATTACACTGAAGGGAATAATCATAAAGCATATTTTAGAAAAATATACCATTAGAATTTGATCTAGTGGGTGCTCAAATAGGAAAAGCTTCATTAGTACAAAAATAAGCTTTGCTTAGGTCAACATTGCCTCAACAATTCCGAATGAAAATGATAAAACAGAAACATCCCAGTCTCAAATCCATCTTTATAACTTGAAGGTGTATTAAGTTTGATTATACGAACTCTTGAGCAACGTAATCCTAGGTCAGAAGTTGTAAAGACTTACTTGGACAACTTCATCTAGAAGACTAACTCCCAGCACCCTAGGTAATAAACCAGCACCAATCCCTTGAATCTTGTGCTCACCTAGGCATTCACATGGCAAATTTCACGTTAGCAACAGTTAAACATACTAGTAATCTCACTAAACAATATAGCTAAGTAAGACAACCACCGTGTTCTCTTCACCCCACCAACAAGTTCCTACAAGAAATATAGTTGGCCGAGCCAGAGCAGTTGAAAGTGTGCTTGATACAGTCATCATGACCCCTTCATCAGATCCGTTGAGAGTCGTACAAAGGTGGCAAAAATATTAACATCACATTCAACTCTAGATGTTGATTGATCGTACTACTAACTAAGTAGTATTAAGTCAGAGATCAAATCCAATTACTTGAAGCGAGCAAATCTTAAATTGCAGTGCTCACTGCTATCAGATTTTATGACCCCTATTGTAGTGCATACCTCAGCTTTTATGCAAGGCCAAGTGAAAATTCATGTTTTGCTGTGTTCATCCACCATGAGAGCATAAATTATATACAATGTTAAATCATTGTACTCAGTAAAAGATTTAGAATATGCAGAATTTAACCTTTAAAGTTAGATAAAAATACTCATGAACAGAATTCAGAAGAGATCAAAGCGTCACCAGAATCTGCAAAAAACTGGTAAAGTCTCCGTACAAGATCTAATCCTACTGTTTTTGGCCGAAAAGAGAACAAACTTCAAGGACCAATCTCCAATGCTACTTTCTCACGCAATCAACCATCCGTAGGCGCCATATCTGAACCATTTACAATTACGCCTGTGATTTGATGACAATTCAAAGTTGACATTTCTTTAACAAAATGTATGATAATCCATAAAGGAAATGAAATGCCTTTGCTGATCCCGTTATAAGGAGGAACATGGGAAGAACAGGCACTAAGAAGCTCTGCCGCTTTGAAACCATTTGGGGTATGATACATAAAGACGACACGCGGGTACATTTGAATAAACAATCTATATTTTGGTTTACTTATGCAAGAATATTACCTTTATGTACATCATACATTTATTGATATGTTATGCATTTTGTTTGTAAAAGCATACAAGGGGAAGAAAAGAATGATATATGTACGTATATAATTATGATATATAATCATAAGTAGAAGTACGTTCATTTTCCAATACATTTAAGGCATTGATAGAACTACTCGATAAACTTTGGAAAGGCAAAATATGAGGAAAAATTAAATAATGGTAGAAGAAACTGAGCTTTCCTACCTTTATGCCTTCCTCTAAAAGTATCTCCAGCCTATCGCTCAACTTGAAGGCAGACCACCAATAAATGCCACAGATCTAAAAATCAAAATAAGGCAAAACTGAAACACATAATGCATGTGTTATTGCAGATATATATATATAGAGAGAGAGAGAGAGAACAACCCATTCATTGTCAAAGCCAAAATGACAAGCAACTATTTCTGATGAAAGGTGACAAATTAAATCAACTTTATGTTCATAAAGTGGCCACCTCTTGATTCATGCCAATACCGTCTGGCTTTTAAGATACAAGTTCGGCCTCAAGCAACTGCCAGATGGCCATAAAACATGTTATCAGGAAGTTAATCTGTTTGAAATCCTCACAATTCCAAACTACGTTAACTTTCCAAACCAAAACTCAGCCAACATTTTACACAGTCCAACACTTGGGGAATTTGATTTGAATCATTTGAAAGAAACATGTAGCCATTAAAAGTTTTGCCAGACAATAGCTAATATTTCTTCTTCCCTCCACCATCCCTCTACCTAAATAGAAGGAGGAGGAGATTCAATTTTACTCAATCATATTCATCTGTATTTATTCTTTTCCAACTGCCATGCTACCACTCTTCACGGAGTTTCTGACATTTTATTCAACAACAGCACTTAATAGAGTTGGAGGATTGATGGGCATAAAGTGTAGCTTAAAATTACCCAAACGAATTAACTTAAATTTCTCGGTCAAAGAGACACAACGGACCTGAACTGACCTGGAATGCACTCGTCATAACATCAAGAAGCGATATCACTATATCCCAACCGAGATTGCCTCAGAAGCATCAATACTCACCCGCTTCAGCTTGTTCAGCTCCTCCATAGCCAGCAACACACTTCCCTTCCCTTCAGAGCCTACAACCTGCCAAGGGACCGCCTCAAATTCAAGAAACTTGTACATATATACCACGTGAAAAATATACCAGAAATCTCACAATGCCGATAAGAAAAATAGCAAAATAAAGAAAGAAAGAAGCCAACATCACGCAGATGTGAAGAAAAGAACAATTGTATCACAAGCGATTACCTGGGATATCTCTCATCGGAAAAAATATAAAGGAAATGAAATGCCTTTGCCGATCTCGTTGCATCCTCCTGCCAGATCAATCATCATTCACCAGTCCTAGCGATATACACAAAATTGATGATTTCCGATCACAAACCCAATAACCCTAAATGAGTAGAGATGATTAAATTAATATGCAATATGCAATTTATATTAGAACACCTAAGATAGGAAAGAAAAAATCATCAACATACCAGCGTCGATAGGAATGGTGCCAATCTAAGGAAGGTATTAATTAGACTGTAAAAAATGACCAATGAGAGATATTTTTGGGTCAACTTCAACGTCAGATAATTGCTTCTTCATCTGAGTTACATCATAGCAGGGGAAAATTCACTTTATAGTCAAACTCTGCTCCTTGATGGGCGTCGTTGAGATCGTAAAGCAATGAAATGTGTCCTGAGGCGGTTAGGCAGAGGAGTCTCTCCATTTTTCTCTCCCCACCTCTCCAATTCTCACCATTTAAATTATTTTATTAAATAATTTTTTTAAATAATAAAATTAATGAATGATAAAATAAAAAAATGAAGGAAAAAAAAATAAAAAGACTCCAAATTCAGGTGATTAGGGATGTCCAGTCTGAGAGAAGAGGAACTATTGAAAGAACAATAACTTCAAGAGCAGGCACATCTGAGGATGGGGAATGGTGTACTCCCTGTCTCCCTCGATCCTCTAAATTTACGCTTTTAAAAAAATTTTTTTATTTTAAAATATAAAACATTTTGAATAAATTAAAATTTTATTAAATATATTAATTTTAATATTATTTTTTCTCTCTTTATAATTAATTTTTATCTTTATTTTTTAATGTATTAAATTATAAATATTTTTAAAAGTTTATATTTTTATTTTAAAAAGATAAAATTATTAGGTGTACTTAATAAAGTTTATTGATATAATTTTATTAAAAATATTTTATAATTTAGGATGAAGGGAGTATAAGATATTTTTATTAAATTTCACCCATCAATAAAGTAATTATTTATTTTTAAACTAATCTTATTTTTTTATATTTATCTTTATTAAATACTTATAATAAATATAAAGTTTTTAATCAATAAAAATATTTTTTAAAAAATAATAATTATACTTTAAAAATTTTAAAAATATTTTATATCTTTTAATATCAAACTCTTTAAGAAAATGTCCCTAATTTTTCGTTGAAGGGAGTAGATAAAAAAGCATGGGGAATTGTAAGGCTAACAGGTATAATAAGAGAAGACTGAGAGAGTGGCGAAATAGTAATCCTTTTTTTTTTTGGGCCAACAGTCCCGAAATATTAATCGAAAATTTGAAAAGTCACATATCGTGATGACAGGGACACATGGAACATTGATCATGGAAAGAAGAGGAAGAGCGGGATATATGCATATTGACTAATTACCTTAACCAATGAGAGAGAGATATTAAAAAATAATCAAAGTAGAATGTCCAATGAGATTCAAAGATTTTGGACCAATCAGCTTTTATCTATGAGATTAATGAGATTCAAATATTTTTGAAAGAAAATATTATCTCTCATAATGTTTGGATCAAAATAAAGAAATAGAGAGAGAGAAAAATGAACAAATATTACAACAACTACAATACACTCATGTCAAAATATATTATATTTTATATAATTTTTTTTTTAAAATAAATTGAAGGAAAAATTATACTAAAATTAATTTCTTCAAAATTATTTATTAAAACATATTCTCATATTATTATATTTTAAAACCATATAATTTAATGAAAATATATTATTTTTCTATTTAAAAAAGTGAATAAATTACTAAAGTTAAATACAATAACCTAAAATAAAAAAATTATAAATTCATCTCACTAAAAGTGGAATTCAATAGCAAAAGTAGAAAAGAAAAACAAAACTAGAGTTGCTTACAATTGATCTGCCTGATCATCACCATTAAATAGAATTAGATATATTAAAGAATTTGAAAAAAATGAATAGGCCTCCCAATGAAATGACGTAAGAATTTTAAAAGATGAATAAGTGTGGTGATAAATCCTATACAAATAATAAAAAATTTTATATAAATTTAATTGTTTGATGAGGTTCAAAAATAAAATACTAAAATTATAATGTGTTAGTCATATCTTGCAGGAATAAGCCAAACTAACAAAATAGAAAATCTATATATGTAAAAAATCAAGATCCCAAATCACATGTGTCAGCGTACTATGAAGTCACATCAACTTCATGTTTTTCTCCTATGATGACATACGCACGCAAGTTAAACAATTTCTCAATGATAAATTATTATTCATTATTTGAAATTTAATGCATGCATTTAATGTATGTGGATGCAGTGAATTAATTTCATAATTTGATTATTTAACTTATGAAAAGTATAATCATGGGATAAATTTGGGAGGAAATTGAATTCTTGAATCCATTTTATTTTGATTAATAATTTTAGAATTTAATATCAACTAATAAACCACTCATAATTTTGTTTTAGGTATAAATTAGTTTTCCCAATGGTCAACTTTGGATTACTATGTCACCTCAATTTCTTTCCCAATTAGCCGATTTTGACCATTTTATGTTATATTAGTTTAATATATTTAAGTTTTTTTTTATTTTATATAAAATTTATGTATATATAATTTAAAATTTAAACTCAATTTAAAATTTAATCATTGGGCAACTAATTCAAATATATATATATATATACATAGATTTTAATTAGAATATCACAATTGCCAATGTATGTGTAGAAATTTCCTTAGATGTATATTAGGCAGCTATTATACGTTTTCCTTTTCATGAACAAAAGTGTCATTATCACCTTGCGATTCAAATAAAATTTATGTTTAAAGTAGTCTACGATAATTGAAAATTTTTAATTGATTCAAATGAATTAAATGATAAACGTGTCATGTGAACAATTGTTGCCAATTTATTTGTAGTTATTTCCTAATATGTATATTACGAAGCCATTATAAGTTTTTTTCCTCACAAAAATCGCTGTGTCATTATTACCATGAGATTCAAATTATCATGTAATTGTACATGTCTAATTTTAATATCATCAGCAAGTCTAATTTTTCAAGCATCATGCACGTTAAATATATTCCAAGCGTATTGTGGTTTGTCATTATTTGCCGCTCAATTTATCATGAGTTCCTGCACTGATGTTCAATTGCTTTCGAAGTTAAAGCAAGGTCACTACTCCTAATCTCTCAAGCTGTGTGTTGTGAGGAAGTATGAGGTTTTGTAAAAGGTTCGATCAACTGCAACAATTGAAAATTTTAACTTCATTATGTGTGATAAGAAAGTATAGTTTTTAATTTTAGCTCCAATTCTAATTTCTATTTATATCTTATGTGTTGTCCCTGAATATTCTTCAATTTGGACTATTCATTATTTATTTAACCCTCCACCACACTTATTAGGGCAATATAATACAAGCCAAAGTCAAAATTCCATGGGTTATACTAAGGTTTTCCCACACCTTGCAAGCCAGAGTTTGATATATAATTATTAAATAATCATTCTAAAAAAATATATTACTTCATTAGTTAAACACATCAATTCTTTCAATTTAATTTGCCAATCAAACTACCTTGCCCTATTATATATACTGTGGAAAATATTTCCTTAACAACACATAAATAAAAACACAAATAAAAAATATAACCATCAAGATTTTATTTTGACAATTAAGTCTTACACAATTAATTGTGTTCATGTGGTTCACAACTAGTAAATACATGCACACAATTAAGATTTTTTTGTTGCCAGCCTAATTAATTGGAACACACTGTATATGATTACTAAATAATCATTTCAAAAAATATATTACTTCATTAATTAAACACATCAATTATTTCAATTTATTTTGTAAAACAACTACCCTTCCATATTATATATATGTAGGAAAATATCTCCTCAATAGAACATAAATAAAAGCATAATTAAAAAATACAATTGTCTTCTTACACAAAAATCAAATTGAATCAAAAAAAAAATTTAAATGTTTGAGTACCAAGATAGAAAAGATGTAATTTCTAGTATAATCAAGTGTATAAAAAGCTTAGAGAAATATATAAAATTAAAAATCTTTCGAGCACTTAAAATATATATGTCAAAATGCTTAAATTTGGTTATAGTAAGAATAACACAAAACCTGAATGGGCAAGAGGGGAATAGGTACATGCAGTCATTTTATATAAAACTTATCATTATATTCCTTTATCTTGCACTATGTTTGCAGTGTTAGCAACATAGCTCAAAATCTCATTAGCGAACAACTCTCACAAGGTGCAATCGAGTCGATTTTCACTAGAGAAAAGAATGAACATAAAACAAATAATAGACGATGTGTAAGTATTTTGTCATTATTATATGATTCACTATATACACAATAATGAACATGCTTTGGATCTTTAAGCCAAATGTCAACCCTCGTTTTTTGCTTTCCATCCCTTTAAAGCTCTTGGATTTCACCCAAGCCAAATATCTTTCCAATGACATCTATAAGCAAAAAAGTGAATGCTTAGATCAAAACCACGTATCACTAATACATTGAAGTAAGAGTATATTAAAGTAAAGGTGTGAGGAGACCACCTATTAGGTACTTTTCACCAGCCTTACAATCTATGATGTCATTAAAAGAGGCAAATAGAAACCCATACAAATGTATGGAAAAATCATCATTATGTGCTCAAACATCGGTAGAGAATTGAAAGTTTATCCTAGGGTGTTCACGGGACGGGACGAGACTGGGACACCCCCGTCCCGTGTCCCGTCCCGAGAAAAAGATCGGGATTGAATTTTGGTCCCGTGTCCCGTCCCGTCCCGAAAGTCGTCCCGTCCCGTTAAGAGTCGGGACGGGACTGGGACAAGATCGGGACATCCCGCCGTCCCGATAAATGAAATAATATCAAAAAAAGATCTGGATAATAATATTCATTAAAATTTTAAATCATATAATTTATTAAGTTTAAAATTAAAACAACACAAGTACATAAATAATAATAATTTAAAATCAATTATTGAATTATATTAATCATAACTACACATTATAATAATAAATACAAATGATCTCTATACTATAAGATTAGTAATAACAGACAAGTCAAACATAACATCAAATCATTGTTCTTCTACTTTAGTGAAGATGTACTAAGCTAATTACTCTTATAAAAATAAGCAAAAAATACGTTGTAAATAAAAGTTATTAAATAGATATATATAAGAATAAATTATATTAATATAATTAATATATTATAAAGAAAGATATCGCCATGTTTACTCCATGCCATTAAAATTATCAATATAAAAAAATTTAGTTTTAAATAAGAATTGTAATATTAAAATTATAATTGATATAATTAATATAAGTATAAATTATATTAATATAATTAATATATTTAAAATAAAAATAATATATATAATATTCGGGACGGGACGGGATGTCCCGATGGTAATCCCGTGTCCCGTCCCGTCCCGAACCTCTTTCCTGTCCCGTCCCGTAAAGTCCCGTCTCGATTATTTTCGGGCCGGGACAAGACCCGTCCCGATATGATCGGGATGATACCGGGCCAATCGGGACGGGTCCGGACTGAACACCCCTAGTTTATCCTATAAGTGTGATCTATTGTCCTATATGACCCAGTGTTTTGGCCCACATCAAATTGTGAGACAACGTATATCCTACCTTCCTTCAATTATTGCGAGAACTTTGAGAGAAAACCCCTCTTCACGATAGCATGGATACAATCACCTTGAATTTGCTAGATTTAAACATGAAAATGTAATTTAAGAAAACCTTAAAAAAATGTTATTCGATAAAGATAACACCGTTTTACATCTACATATTGAAAAATGATATCCAGTGATTGAATCTCTCCTGATAGATTGTATCATGACATAGTCTACATGTGAACTACATGAATCTTAATCCTCCAGTCACTTCAGAGTGGGTTGATAGAGCAAATGGAATTGAATCGTGGAGCCATTACCTGCAATGCATCGCAGCATGGTTAATGCTCAACAGATGAGATGTGAAAGTCATAAAAGAGAAATGGAATTAAAAAGGAAGAAGCAAACCCACGTGAATGCACATTTTAATCAACAAGAATGAGTAAAGTAAATTTGTTTAGAAGTATGGTGGGATCACTGAAGTATTGGGTCACCATCCTAAACAGATGGCATGATAGGCAAAATTTTATATTTAGAGTCCAATATATTATAAAAAATTAGTATCCTGAAGAAAATAATATGCACACCTATAATTTATAAATAATAGAATTGAAAAATATATACTATTTTGTGAGTTAATCACATAAATTGTTGCTGTCATTTTAAAATTCAAAGATCCTTAAGAAATCAAACCATAAAGATGTGACAGTCAGTTTAGATGATCATAATGTTATTTTAATTTGTTTTAGTTTATTTCGAATTTATTTGAATATTATTTTTATATTTTATTTTCATTTAATTAAAATTTAGAGTTTTAGTTAATCTTATATTATATTTAATTGTTTTTAGTTTTATTTTAGGTAAGTTTGATTTTTTGTTTTTGAAACAGTATTTAAATTATTTGTCCCCTTTATCCGCCATGTACTTATGCTTTCTACCCTTATCTCGTCTCTTAATTTATCCTTGACTTTAATCATATTTTTTCAGTTTACTTAATTGTAATTTAATGATATAATGATCTAATTAATTTTATATTAAATTTTATCCTTTCATTAATTTTTTATTAAATCCTTTCATTTGTTTTTACTATATTCATTCAAATCTTAAAGTTTAAAATAGGATTCAAATTCTTCTTTTCCTAATGTATGTCCTATAGTTCATGTCTGTTTCTCCAATAGATTTGCAGATAAATTTAAAAGAGCAAAATTATTTTTCTCACATACTCCCTCCGTTTTTTATTGTTAAAAAAACTATTACTTTTGCTTTATATTATTTATGGACAAAATCACTCATTTTAATAAGTATTTATTATATATTTTTAAATCACTCATCATAATTTACATTAATAAAAAATAATTAATTAATGTATGTTTATGTTAATCAATACAAGACATTCTAGTTAACTTTTTTATTTTTAAACATAATTATTATAATTAATTAATTTTTTAAATTCTGTGATATAATTTATTTTTTTAATGTATAAAAACGGAGAGTAATTATTAAAATAGACTTATTTCATATTAAAATCCATCGAGGCAAAAAGGGAGAGCTCAGATGCACGAGTTACCATCCGTTGGATCAGATAAACGTGGCTGAGCTCCCAACATGCACCAGCCGGGAATCGAACCCGGGTCTGTACCGTGGCAGGGTACTATTCTACCACTAGACCACTGGTGCCCTTGTTGATATCCGAGTCTTATATTTATTTTTTTATAATTGTATTCCACTATTTTTCTTCTGTCGCCAGCGTCACTATGTTTTTTTAATGAAATCGGAAAGAGTCCAAACTTTTTTTAACTAAAAAGTAATCCAAGATCATTGTGATCCTAATTTGTAGATGCAACTGCCCAATGAGACCTCCCAAGACACAACGTGATATTTTTTGCATAGTTGTGGTGATTTTTGGACCATCGCAGACAAGGATCTTCGTAAATGGATCCGAATATGACAAAAGAATTTCTGCTTCCCGATTATTTCTTTACCTTTTTTTTTTATTGAAAGTTATTTGTTTACTTTAAAATCAAGTAACCATCATGGGAAAAAAAATCATTTAAAATGCCATAGTCGTCAAGGATTCAATTATTTGTCTTTATGCAAAATGGGGATGAGTTGATTTTGCCCAATAAATTAAGGGTTAAAAGGGCAAATTAACTCTAAATGATAAATGCAATAAACTCTAAATTCATCTTTGATTCAATGTTCCCTTTCACTTAAAAATAATTTAATATAGTTCCTGTTATTAATAAAAGTCAATTTTAACAATTAATTAATTAAAAAATGATAGAAAATTATCTATAAAAAATACAAAAAGACTGATAAAACTTTTTTGATCATTGCATGTAATTTGGTGGCCATTTCCTATAAATTTTTAGTCTTTTTTTTAGGTTTTTTTCTTGTTATTTTTTTAATTAATTAATAATTAAAATTAATTTTTAATAATGATAGGAGTGATATTACACCATTTTTAAAGTTTGAATGGGGTTATTATATTGAAAATAAGTTCAAAATCTCAAACGCTTATGAACTTATAATTTAGAGATGAATTTATCATTTAACCTAATGTAAGTTTTTTTTATACTCCCTCCAAACCACAATACATACAAGTCATAGTTAATTAATTTATAGTTTATAAACAGTGTTAGTTAAAATCTTAAATTTTTAAAAATCAACATCTTTTCATTTATGTTCTTATTAAATATAATTAATTTATAGTTTATGAACAGTATTAGTTAAAATCTTAAATTTTTAAAAAATCAACATCTTTTCATTTATGTTCTTATTAAATATCTTATACAAAAGGCTTGATGATGGTAATTAGAATTTTAATATATAATTTTTTTAAAATAATAAATGAAACAGGAATATTGGAAAAAAATATAAGAATTATCCAATGTTTTATATTTGAATGAGGCAAAATTTTTAAAAAATATCTTATATAGTAATCTTGAGAAAGTAAATTTCTATGGAAACTCGAATGCAATAATAAAACGTTTTAATAAGTTTTAGTGTCTATAAATATTTATAATTGTTGAAATAAAAAAATTATATTTATAATGTCAGAACCAAAAAGACTGAGGATTTTGAGAACATACTAGGCGAAACAATCAACAATCTTTGCGACTTAAGGAAGCCCTCGCTCGTTGGATATATACAGAAAACTCAAAATATCAAGGCTTTGTTTGGTAATCTATTTTGAATAAAAAAAAAAAAAAAAAATAATTTTTTGTTCTTCTAATTTTTAAAAAAATAAAAAAAATAATTTAAATAGCTCGCAAATTTCCCTTCTTCTATTTTCTCTTTCTGTTGGTCTACATATTAAATTCATAAATTTCTAATTCTAATCTTTGGCCTTCTCTAAACTCAATTAACAATTTTCAAGGGTTGGCGGTGTGGTTGGTCCACCAAACAGGAATGCCAGTAACAGCCCCTGTGCGTTGTTCTGATCACCAAACTGCCCACTTCATTTGATACCCGCAAGAACCTCTGTTCGCCAATGCCGTTCCTCTCGCCGGCGCCGCAACGGGCACTCATACTTCGGAGTCTGTGCCGATTTCACTCTCACCGAGAAATTAATGATCCCGTTCCTCCGGCCTTCCCAGTCCCTCAACCGATAGCTCAAGAACTGCTGGCAAGATTCCGGCACAATCCCGCCGAGAAAATCCGAGAGAGCAATCCTTGCGATGCCGACACTCTTCGCTCCCATGGACGTCTTGCATTTCACGTCGAACGTGATGGACCTGGCGTGAGGTGGCATTTCGACCATCAACGTCTCGTTCCACGAAGGGTTTCCCCTGGCACCTTCCGCCGTTCCCGGTGATGTCGTGGAGCAGTTGAGGGTCTCCGCCCGGACCTCAACGAAGACGTTCTTGGTCACCGGCTTGCGGTCGACGGTGAGGCCCTCCGCCGACAGAACCTTGACCTCCAGAGTTCGCGATCCCGCAGATGCTGTCATTTTAATGGGAAATAACGAGGCGCTGGAATCAACGAAGAATCAAGATGTTCCGATTCAAATATTCAAGTAGCTGGGCTTGTTGGGGTTGATGTTTCTAGATTTTGGGGCGAGGATGGAGAGAAATTCGAAGAGGGGGTTGGATAAGTAAAGATGGAACGAATGGGAAGCTCTTTATACTAGTTTTATATGCCGAATGAGATGAGGGATGATGTTTATCACGTGAGACTCGTTCCCCAAGACTGGGTCCCATGCCTTTGTTTTTCTATTTATTCAAAACAGTAAAAGTTACGGTAAGGCGCGTGGTGCAGACGTGTTGGCTCGAGACTTTGCCGCCGGATACGCCGCGGACGATCTCGGCGCGTTTTGGTTTTTGCGAGGAAGGTAATATCGCCTTTAGACTTTGAGATGGTCGTGCTCGCGTATTCAATTTTGGGGACTGCGATGTCGTTTAGCGTGCGCCTCGTGAGTGGAATTTTCCCACCTCTTGCTCGACAGATTACAATGCATATCGTGTGTTTTACTGGTAATCATCATCAATCACTTCTCGTTCTGCAGTAAATTAGATTAGACGTCAAGTTTTGAGCTTTATTAAATCCAAGGCAGAGCATTTTGATCCATCTTGACAATACAATACTCTCTCTGTTTCTATATATTAGATATCTTTTAAAATTTTTTTATTTTTAAATATAAGGAGTTGTTAATATATTTTTAATGAATAACTATTATATTTTTACTAAATTAGAAAAAAAAAATATAAATATTTTTATTAATTTACTTTGAATTTTTTTTAAATTTACAATAATTAGAGACAAATTTAGAATGTTATTATGCTTTTAATTAAATAATTAATTTTTATTAATTTATATAATTTAGTTAAAAATATTTTATATATATAGATGCAGATGAAGTAATATGTTACAGTAGAAAAGGTCAAAAAAAAAATTGTGTTATAATTCCACAGAATCACTTTATTTTTGTTCCAAGCTAGAATGAAAGAGAAGGGCTGGAGGATTTTGTTTTGTTGTCATTTTGTCAATTCTTTGAGGACCAATAAGATGCTAAAGAGAGCGCGTTTCGGTCTTCCCAATGTTTTGAGAGATATAAACGTTTGCGCCGTTGGAATGGAATCGTGAAACTTGCTCACTTGTCGTTTTCGTGCTTGCGAGGCGCCTCGTCAGTTGCACATTTTTTATTGATATTATATATCAGTTAATTTGAATTTAATTCGGACAGCTAGGCTTGGATGAAAAGCCTTTTTCGTAAAGCTCGAACTTCATGCGTTATCTTTGTGAGTGTTCAAGTGGGATGATGGTCGTGGCAACTGGCAAAGGAAAATTGAGAATCATGCATATCGATCAATTGGAGATTGATAAGACCAAGGTGTTATTTTAACTGACACCCACAGACTTTGTCGAGTTGAACACGTGATTAAAGTCAGACAATCCGTCATTTGAGCATGTTCTCCATTTGGTTATTCACTTATTTCTCAATTTGTCAATGCGTGATGATTCAGACGCCCTTTTCTTTTTTTACTTCTAATTGCATTGTAATCCCTCCTGCATTTTTTCAAGCTTAAATGTTAAAAAATATAAAATATTTTTAATATTTTAACAAATAATTAATGTGTTTTTAAAAAAATTAATAAATAAGTCATTTTTATTTATTTTAAAATGAAACATTATATTAATATTAATTAGGAGTAAACATATAAAAATAATATTAGTTGAAAGATAACTATTTTATTAAAAAATATAATTCAATTAAGAATGCCTTGCACGCTCTTTTAAATGAAAAGAATATTTGATATATTTTTCTTGGTAAGCTGAGTCTTTTTGACATATTTTTATTCGAAAGATCACGTTTCATTTCACGGTTTATCCACGTTTCGCGGCCGCAATTTCCTTAACAATACAAAGTTTTTTGACCAGCATATTCATAAAATAAAAGGCTGAATAATAACTCAGAATCTTGTGTTTTCATTTTTTTAAGTTATTGCCGACAGATCCACATTTCATACCTTGGCCAGCACATCTAAGCGTGTGTTTGGATTTTGAGATTATAAATTAATTAATTAATATAATTAATTTTTATTTTAATTAATTATATTATAATACGATCATGTTTGAATATTATTTTTATAAATTTAATTTTAATATAATTAAAAATGTATGAATGATTTAGTCAAAATTAATTTTAATTGAATGTATATGATGTATAAATTAATATAAAAGACATTACTTTTGAAAATGCAACTGTTGATAAAGTTGTGTGTGTATAATGTTATTAAATTAACAAAAAGATGCGTGTGAATTACTGTCTTCATAAAAAAAAATATAGATTCATATCTGTTTCAGATTTGGACGAGAATATGGACAGCAAACGGATTTAAATCTTCTAAAATTAATTTTATATTATATAAAAAATAATAAAATACTAAAAAAACGAAAACTTTACTTAAATTTACTAATTTCAACTTTAAGAAGATTTAAATCCGAAAAGCAAATAGCATAGAGAAGAAGAGTGTCCCTAAGGATAGAGTAAAAAAAATTTATTAGGGGGTGGAGATGATAAAACAAATATAATAATTGAAGAAAAATAAATCTATATATGTGTATGTATAATTGACATAACATAAATATTTTAACATATATATTTATATTTATTTTATAAATATATAACAAATATATATATATATATATATATATATTAAGTTTTACTTATCAATATTTCATAATATAAAAATTATTAATTATCATCTCTACAATAAATTTTTAACAATTTCATTCTCAATATAAATTATCATTAAATTATTAAAAATTTCATATTCCTTATAATTATTGAATGATCTAAATGTATCATTGAAAATTGAGATTTAAAATTTTATTCAATATAATAAGTTACTTATTAAATTTATTATTTAATTATTTTAATCAGTAATTGTGGTAAATAAATGTATCAATACGATAATGAAGCTCAATTATTACAAAATTTTTATGTTGATAAGATCAAATTATATTAGAGTAATTAAAAACCATTCATATCAAAGATTTCAATACCTTGATTATTATAAAAAATATTTTTTAAAAAATATATTAACCATAACCTTTTAATTTTTTTTCAATCAACTAACATTTCAATGCATGTCTGGATAAGATCAAATAATCAATTCAAAACCATGGTTTTAACCAAAAATACCCAAACACTCGTTTTTTTTTATTTAAAGAAATTGATTTTGGTCTAAAATCTCCGTTCCAGCACAATCTAATTTAAGCTGCTTTTAATTTTCAATTCTAAGCGTTGAGCCATTATTATTTTGTCGGAATTATGAAATTATCAAATATACCCCTGCTGCACTGTGCGTTCGTGAACTATTAAACTAAACCTTTCTTACTTCGGTAAAAAGGGCTTCCTCACAGGGAACAAACAAGTGTCGTTTTGGACTCAAGGCTTGTATTATTAGCTACGTTTAGTCATTTATGCCCTGTGTACTTTCATTATTCTTGAAGCTCGATTTTTACGGTGAACATCCTGCATGAGGTGTCATCACATACTAAACATCAAATTTTATCAATAATTTAATTTTAAAAAATAATATCCTTTATAATAATTTATACAGTAAAAATTAATTCTAATTAAATCATCCAAACATATTCAATTATATTAAAATTAATTTTAAAAAAATAATATTCAAACTGATTGCATTATAACATAATCAATTATATTAAAAACAGGTCCTTAACTTTTGGATATGTAATTTTATAGCAGATATTAAGTATATAGCATTTAATATATCTTAAAATTTTTGTTGCAATATGCTTGACAAAGTTTACTAATAATAATTTTGTAATTTATTTTATTAAATATAAAATGAAAGAAAATTAAAATGATATTAATACTTTAAGAGCATATGCAGCGTTATTTCATTGAAATAAGTAGATCACATAATAACTATATCTTCCAAACTACTAAAACAATTACATTATACATATATAACAGATTACATGTAGAATTAAGATAAAAATTTCATCTAGTGTTTTAAGACTTATATTTTATAATGTGTCAACTTAAAGGCTAAAGATATATAACTTCTATATTTTATTAAAAAAATTTAGGAAAAAAGGGTAAAAATATTTTGAAGCTTTTCCTTCAAATGTACCTGTTATCTTAATTTTTTTTTTGAAATAATGTCACCACAAATCTTTTTAAAATAGTACAATGTTATTGTGTGGTTAAATGTTGGTTTAGTTGAGTGTCGATGTGGAACTTTGATCACAGAAATTTCCACCCACCTTTTTTCCTCCTTTTAATTTTCCCTGCCTGATTAGGCAATAACTATTGCTCCATGATGTCATTGATCTCTCCTTCCTCCTCATTCTTCTTTTGTTTTTTTTAATTACCTACTCTCTTTTTTAGATTCAGAAATAAAAACAAGACTTGAAAAATCAAGTTTGGAGGCTTTGTTTAGAGAAGGGTTTAGACTTAAAAAAATTAGTATTTTTTAAGAAAATCAGGCTTCTAGACCCAATTTTGATAGGCTTTGAAAAAAATGGTTCAGGCTCAGGCCGCCCTCCAAGTCTTATTTCCCAAAAGATCGATAATTTTTTAAGTACTGTGTTGTCAAAATAATTGATGTTGGTTCTTTTGCCATTTATTTTAACACAATATTGACATATTTTTATTAATTTCTTAGACATGATTACTTTATAAGGTCTATTTCTTGATTTTGATCAATGTTATATTTCATAATATGCAAGTTTTTGCATTCATCAAATTTGATAAGGTTGATCTGGATTAAAAATTTTTATCTTCATTTTAAAACTTGATTAAGATTCTATATCTTTATTTATATTTATTTGTTTTATTGAATTTTTTAAAAAATAAAACAAACTTATGAGTCTGATCTTGATTCCTTCAAATAAAGATCGAGCTTTAAAAAACTAATCATTTGTTAAAAAATGAGTTCAAGAGCTTGAGCTTTTAACGGTCAGGCCTGTCCATTTTTTTAGTTTTATTTCCTTCCATATCTCCTCATTTTCATTTATTAAGTATTAATAATCAATACTGAATCCTAGAGGTAGAAGGCCAGCTTGTTTGTTTATTAATCCATTAGAGTTGCCATTGATTGAAGATTGAGCGATC